CTCTCATCTCCGTCAGTCTCAAATGACCAATATCCTGAACCGCCTGCATGCAGGGTTGGGTCTGCGGCTCCCAGTGCACCTTTCACCTACCGTTTAGACCCTCGCCCGTCGCTACAGGACTTTTTGCATGTGGGTAAAGCCTTCAAGCCTGCGCAATGGATTTTTTAGGTGAGATGCAGTATGCGTGAAACTGAACCCACCCTTTAATCCTAAGGTTCATCTGCCAGGGCCGAGCAAGCTTGGACAGTGGCAGCGAGGTCCTCAGGACGTAGGTTTGATTAGAGTGACCTTCTCTTAGATGGATGGCCTTACAGGGCTAAGCGAGCTCCATCTACCCGGGTTTGAGATTAGAGTTGTCCTTCTCCTAGGATGACTGCCAGAAGGCTAACGAGCTCATCCTGCCCAAGAACGTAGTGTATCTGGTCCTACGGTTTTGACCTGTCTGGCATGGGTGACCCTACTGAAGGCATGAACCAACACCAGCATAGCTCGCAACCATATAGGGGTACACAGGCTACATACCTGTTACCACAATTTCGGCAAGTCTTACATTTCCTACTTTACTAACACATACCTATACACAATCTCAAGGAGAAATCCAGGAACAACCCTTTGACCTATCCACACTTTCAGGACATAACAGAGCAAAGCAAATATATCCAGAACATGCTGAACCTGGGCAGTAGCCACAGGTAAACTAAAAACAGACAGACAAACAAAACAAACCAACGGTTCTGGCCCCTGTACCCATCCAAGGCTGGGGTGCCTTACAAGGTCCCAGCCTAGCTGGGACCCCCGTCACTCTAAAGGAACCCCATTATCCACCCTGACCATGTCCTTCCTCCACTGTGTTACCACGAATCTTCAGGCGCACTGCTTACCTGTGGCACCACACACAGGACTGCCCCGCTCTCCCTTCCGCCAGTCAGAGGACCCTCCATGGCCTGCTCGACCCCACTTCCCCTGTCCCTTGTCCCCTCCCCCCTCCACCTTGCCGTCCCCTGTCCCCTGTCCCCCCCTCCCCCCCCCCCCCCTCCCCCCTCCCCCCCCCCCCTCCCCCCCCCTTCTCCCTCCCCCCTGTCCCCCGTGACCCCCCGTCCCCCCCACCACCCGCTCCCCCTCCACTCCGTCCCCCACCAGCCTTCCCCCTCCTCCCCGCTCCCCCCCAAAACCTGGAATCCCAAACCTGTGTGTTCCGAAGCTTCCCTCTCCACCTCCACTGGGTCCAGCACCCGACGGCAAGGTTCCCCCTCCCTCCACCACCCCCTGCTGCCTCCGCTGCCCCTGCTGCCTGCCGCAGCTGTGCCCTGGGGACTGACCCGCGCGCGCGGAGCGCGCGCGGCGCCCCGACCACACGGCGTGCTCCCCAATATTAATACTATTAAATGGAATGCATCACCCTACTTAGAAAACAGTTTGGAAAAAAAGGGTAAGTTGTGAAGAACCCACCACATGAGAACAGTGTGAATATTTGAACTATGAACATGACTGGAGACGTTCCAGAACTTTCTGGATGCAATCCTGTGCCACATGCTGTAGGATAATGCTGCTTGAGCAGGGAGGTTGGACCAGACGACCCACTGTGGTCCCTTCAAACCTGTGATTCTGTGAGACGCCAAAAACTTTCTTAGATATTTATAAAATTCTTTGGATTTTTGTCTCACATAGATATTGATCAATAAAATGTAAAAAAGCTAAAATGTTCTTGCTTACTTGATATTGCAAATTCTTATAATAAAATAGCCCTGTCTTCACTGATCCATGAATTAGATAATTGAGTTTACTTTTACACATTTCTTGTATACAAGAAATGTTTTTATTATTTTGAAACACACTTGGACCTTAAAAAAATAATTAGATTCTCCCAATGAAGCATAGAACTTGTCATTCATGAAAAATAGAGTTCATGTTTGCAATAACAGCACTATGTTAATCACACTAGCTTGAAAAATCTGCTAATATGTTTGCTAATAACTTGCCTGATCTTTCTGAAACCAGATATTTCCATGAATGTTAAGGAATACTGATTTTGTGCTGGTTTTTTTTTTTAATCAGTAATATGAAGAAACATCAATTTATCAGTATGAAAATGTGGTACTAATATTACTTATGATTTATACTATACAAATATAAAATCCACGGGGTCTGAATTTATCATTTTACCATTTATGTAACATATGGATATAATAACTACTGTTATACAATACTTAACACCAGGAAGTCAATTAAGAACTTGTATTTTCAGAATACTATTGGGGTCTTGAAAATTATGCATTCACTGGTTTATTGTAATTTTCAGCTTGAGATACAGTAAGTCCATGGTTCATTTAGTTATGCTAGGTCTGCATTTCATCTACTCCATCTGCATTTAAGGGTTATACTCCAATAATTTTATCACAGTCCTGGAAAACTTCTTTTCCAGGATTCTGGAAAAGGATTCTAGGATTCTTCTGGGAAAAAAATGTGAGAATTAAATATTCAGAGGAAAGAAGGTTGTTGAACTAAACAGATAAAATAGGTGAACAAAACAAATAAAATTATTATTTGAATAATAAATGAATTAAACAAATGAAAAACTAAACTAAATTACAGTGACAGCAAGACAAATCTTGTCCATGGATTAATACTGGCTTTGTGCAAGTATATGACACTTCTCTGAGCTTTATAATCCATATGACCTTTTTCCTTATTTCTCTCTCTTTAACTTTGGTAAAGTAAGTGGAAAAAAAAAGTATTTCAGAGATGGAAACAGCTCATCAGCAGTTGTGCTAGTGGTGTCAGTCCATTCAGAAATGTTCAGCATGCTCTGATGTTTGGCTGTTATCTCACATGCATCACAGGTGCTCTTGCACCCTGCCAAAATCCTCCCTTCCTCCTGTTTTCATATCTCGTCCTGACCAAATAGTTTAGCATCTCTCCAACCTGAAGGATAATTTGATTCAACCAAACACTACCTCAAATACTCAGACAGTTATCAGGCAGATGCTGCCATGCCTAGATTGGACATAAGTGTTTCTTTCACAAACATCTGAAGGTGATACAGGCAAATGCCCTGGCATCTGGACAACGATATAATTCGAGGTATCTCTGTTAGAATTATTTTTATAACCAAATAGATATCAAAGAATTATGAGTTTTATAGGTCACAGTTTAGTGTTTGATTTTTTAACATGATTATTTCTTTCCTCAGTCATTACTTGCTTTGTCTGTTCTGGATGTAAGTACCTCAGACAATGACTGCCTCTTCTCACTCTTTCAATATTATGAGAACACAGAGCCCCATTCTGACTGTACCTGCATTAGTACTGAAGACATGTAATAAATACATTTAAATAAATCTAACAAACAATCTTCAAAATCGAATTTTAAAACCTGATACTTCTAAGAAAATACAGCCATGTTTTGAAACGTGATTTCTTATAGATCTGTTTAATTAGTCTGGCACCTGGAATAGCCAAGCCTTTAATCTTAACTGTGACAGCCTGGTTTGGTCAATTCATGCACATGGCCTGTTTAATTATTAACAACTCTCCATAACTTAAATGAGCTATTTCACTGTGTTGTGACTTCAGCTAGGAAAGAGTTCATTTCCTTCACAGTAGAAAGGATGTTAACCTGGGAACTTATTGCTGGACCATTAGATAAAGGTAAAGACACACAGGTGGCTTAATCTCCAATACCACACAGGACCTGCCTTCAGGCTCCTCTGTTACAAGGAGATAGTCAATTGTGTTCCTCAGCCAAGGGATGTGAGCAGCACAGCACACTCCTGTGGATGCTTAGGTTACCTGTCATGTGTACCACTATCTCCTCCATGAGCAGCTAACATCCAGTCAGTATCACTATATCCATGTATGCATGGATATGCATGAAACTAAAAAAAAGTTTCTCACTATTCAACTTTTTTTTTCCACCCCAATGCTCATTAAGTGGTCCATTCAAAATTGAAAAGTCCCAAAGTAAAACACTGAAAATCAGCAAGAGAGGGTGTAGCAGGGAAAGGGACAAGGGACATCTCATGACAGTCTTAGTTCTGTGTATTTTATATTTCCCACATCCTCATTTAGGCCAAATTTCTTATCAACTCTGCTGAGAATATAGTTTTTGCTGTCTTCATATGAAGATGTTGTTCAGCAGTCTTGTCATTTTGTTTTTAGAATCAGAACATGAATTTAGAAAAATAATTATTAATATGCAAGCTTGAAAATTTCAATTACCATTTTGAAGCACTGAATTTGCATAAAATGTTTTCTTTTGAGTAATTCTTAAAGCAATTTCAAATAACATGTAAACCATTACTGAAGTAAAATGACATTTCAAAGTGGTAAACAGTGATCTAGCTGCTCAACTGTCACTGGTATTAAGAGTCACACAACTTAAGTTCCTGTGCAACACATGGAAAGTTTACTGCCATGTGTCTCCATTAATCATATCATAGAGGGAACACCCATATCAGGTGGGTTTTTTTAATTATATCTGCATTTTAATGCTCCATTTAAATATTTTAATTTATCTATTACTATCAATTACTGTACAGAGACCCTCCCTCAAACAATTATTTTCTACGAAATGTCATATTTATTCATATTTGCTATGCCCTTATTCTTAGTGGAAAGCCCAAGGTAAAATTGTAATGTCACTTGGGACAGAAGAGATAACTAGCTATTTTATGATTTACTAGTTTTGTAGTAACAGCCATCTGCAGTGAACTTAATTGCCTTTGCATTTCATTTAGTCAAACAAAGTTATGTTTTTCTTTTTTTCTTGTATGATCATGGTGTTGTAACAGGGAAGGGTTCGAAATATACTGAAGCTTGAAAACCCAGACACCGTTGGAACTCAATAAAGTAAATATTTATTACAAAAGGTGGCTAACAAAGAAAAACAAGCACTCGAGAGAAGGGGAAAAAGGAAAAGGGGAAAAAACCCAAAAAAAACAAAACCAAAGAGGAAGGTGCGACACCCTACTCACCTAGGTGTCACTTATGAGATGATCTTACCCACTGTAAATACTATAAAGCCCTCTTCAGCAGCTGCGTTTTCCGAAGGGTTGACAAGCTCCCACTTCAGCAGACGTCCCTGCTAAAAGCAACTTGGTCCTTCATGTAGAGCCGGCCCAAACTCGATGGAAAACTTGTCTGCTTTTATACAATCCATTGAGAACCTCTGCCCAGGGAGGTGTGGCCAGTACCACCTCGCCAGAGGTTCCCAATCCCACCCTCTTGGTTATATAAGTGCATCTCTTCTGTGCATGCGTGAGAACTTCGGAAATCCCCTCATGCATGCACAATATGTTTTGGCGGTCTTTCTTAATTGAGTCTGGGAGCGAGCCTTCCTCCCCTCCTCATCACTTTCTCCTCCAAATGCCCTTGACGGACAATTAGCCAATCACAGAATACCAATTAAAACAGTTTATGCAGAAGTTCTCCCTCCAAGGATGAATTCACTGTTTTATCAGTGAACTTGGTAGGGAGAAATATAAACTACTGCAGGTGGCTAGGGCCAAACACAGACCAAAAGTATCAGCACAAATTCACCCTAGTACAGGTGTTTACAAGTATATTGGGCATTTTGGTTCTGTGGATAGTCAGGATACTTGAGATAGAAGAGTGAGCTGATTACAAAGCTAAGAGGAAGGTCTTTGGGTACCCCCTTAATACACAATTTTTTCTGACTTCACTTACAAAACCGGCAGAACACAGTCAGTCTAAGTCTATTAATGGAAATGTAAAAGCTAGCCAGATCCCATTATTACTTCAAGTACTTAAAGACACTTGAGGTCGGTAGGCAGTATGTTCCATAAAAAAATTATTCATAAAAAAACCCCCACCAAAACAATCTTTTTTCACTTTTATCTTACACTTGCCTCACTATTTTTGATGAAAAGAAGATGCCAAAACCAAAATTTACAGCACATCAGTGGACAAAGAGAAACACAACTTTTCTTAGGGAAAACCACGTTCATTAGTTGAATATTTTGTAACCATCTCTTCGTGTCTCACAATTAATGTATCTTCTTGGAAAGTTATTTTAAACTACTGGCTCCTCACAATAACATATATGTTATTCTCAGTTTCTAGCACAATAAACTGTGTATTTTCCCTTAATCACGAAGTTAAAACCATGTCTTGATATACAGCAGTACAGATAGATATATTTTATGTAATTTCCTAGATTGTGACAACTGCCCCTGTATTTTCTTACTCCTGTTTGACATCTGTAAACAATATTTTCAAAACGAGCTTTGGCAAAGCTAGCATTTTGAATGATTGGCTGATAGAAACAGGGTTACTCCTTCAGAGACTTAAAAATATATAGCCCTCTGTTTAAAACAGGCTTTGAAATGCTTGTGAGATGGATATGGCTGCTGAATGAAAAATATTTCAACACCAGTTCAGAAGCTACTTATTTACTAAAACATATTCCTGTAAACTAAATAAATATAGTGTTTACATCAATTCAGAAAAAGAAAGATTGAATGTTGCAAATAGCTGTATTGATTTGGTTTGGTGTTAGCTCAGATACCAATGATACTGACTATAGGTGTATGCCCCTGTGGATGAGGTACTTCAATCAATATTTTATTGGCTGTGAGCACTTTTTCAATAAAAAAATGCTGTATCATATTGCATTACACCATTTATTACTATCTCCTGTCATTAGTTGTCCAGACTTTGTCCAAGAAGGTCTTCAGTATATTGCAATCATGCACATACTTTGATGGATTTGAGTATTGTTAGCAAAATGTTTATATTCTGAGAGACTTTGAATCACTGTTTCCCCTTCATATCCCTTGCAGCTCCAACTGCCATCTCCAAAATAATTTTTTCACTTGTTAAGGAGGAGAAGGCTTCCAGAAAAATATGTAAATGAATTATTGCCTAGATGTATACATACATGGGAAACAATACAGAGAGTTAAGACTGTGGAATTAACTCCTGAACTTAATCACAAAATTTCCTTTGCAATAGGTTTAAATAAACCCTACTGCTTCAGTGGTAGCACTATTCATTTCTAAATACAGAGAATATTTCTCACTATATGTCTCAAACATTTTCACATTCTGATTACTGTAATAAAGAGGATGCTGCAAAGACTAATCTTAAGAAAATTCTTAAATATATAGTAAAAGCAAAGAAATTGAGTAATTTCCATCTTCAGTCCTGAAAGTCCTAAAGAACTAAATGTTTGAAAAGTAAATTGTAATTTTTTGCCATCATTACCACTGAATCTGGAAATGAAAATGTTTGGAGATGCACAGCATGCGTTAGATTTCTGTCCAGAAATATTTTACTTAATACAGCATTATATTTACAGAGTATTTCAATAATATTCACATTCACAGTGTGAGTTATAATTTATAATACTTAGAAAAACCTGAAAGACACATGGCAAATCTGTCGTGGGTTCAGGTTTAGAGCAGACTCCTGCCTCTCAGAACTGCATTACAAGTAGCTTTTAGGCAACCAGATACTTTTTGTAAAACCTGCCAGTGATAACTCTCAGAATTTTGCTGATCAGAAGGGACTATATAGCAAACAAGAGAATAATTTTCTTTAAACACTTTCTGGAAAGGAAATATCCTATTTCCTAGTTCTCTAGCCCCATTGTTAAAATATTCAGTAAGAAAACTACAAGTCAGTAACTTCAACCTGTAGAAAGTAGAATCACATAATGTATTTATAATCTCATAAAAAGTAACCCACCAACTGCCAAGATTAATGAAAGTCAAAAGACAATTTTAGGAAACTGTGATCGCTATAAACATGAAAGACACTGGTTAGGTGCCTAGAATTTGATTCCTTACAGTAGCTGCTTAGCTACTATCTGAAAACACATAGAATCATAGGATAATAAGTTGACCTGCCTGGTTCCTTGAAAATGTAGGTCAGGTGTTCACTGCCTGAAGAAATTACCTGCTAGGTGACTCAGGTTGCATGGAGCATTAGCTCATCCACTGGCTAGTCATATATCACTGTCATATAGTGGAAAGACTGTGGCAAAACACAATAAAAGTGAGGAAAGTAATTACAAAGGAGGACAAAAGGAAGGCATTTATTTTAATTAAGCTGCAAAGAAGTGTACTGGTTGTATATATTTTTTGATTAAAAAAAAAAGTGTAAAACTTCTATCAGCATCCACAAGATTATCATCTAAGCTAAACAGTACTGTAAAAATAAGTGTGCTATGATGTGATACATTAAACTGCAAGCACACGTTAACTGGGCTAATGTTATAGCAAGAAAGAAATAAGAATTATCCTATTGTTACAACAATGTTGTTCTTATTTTGTAATGAAATTATAAGAGATTGTAAAGATCTCTTATAAAAAGCCCCATGTGATATCAGAGAAGAATGGACACTTCAACAAGTAATATAATTAATATTCTTATTGGAGAATATGCTTATCTTTTTCTAGTCTTAGTCTGGAAATTATTTATGTGCAAATGAATCATATGTCTGACATCACAGTTCACTCAAGTCATAGTAAGACAGAAAACCTGGAGTCCTGAATTGAGTGAATTAAGGTGTTACAACCATTATGGGCTCAAAAGATTTTAAGCCCTACCATATCGTTTTATGATTTGCTGAATTAAAGATTCTTCCTCTGCAAAGTGATAGTTTCATTAAATAATTGCTGGACCTGAACAAATCATCTTTTATAAGTTACACTTAATTTCCTTACCCTGTCGTTGAAAAGCTTTGTTTACATCACTTTTTTCCTGAAAAACTTTGCTTTAAGATTCAAGTAGTTTGATTGTTTTGCAATGATTTATAAAATGCCAGAATGAAGAGTAGAAACAAGAAATTCAAAACCACGTGGAAAAAAAAAAGGAATATAGGTGGGAAGGGACCTCCAAAAGTGTCATGGTTTATCCCCAGCCTGCCACCAATTACCACATTGCTCATTCACTCCCTCACCAGTGAAACTGGGGAGAGAATTGTAAGGATAAAAGCACATAAACTTGTGCTTTCCCAACAACCCAAAGAGTACCTTTATATATTGCATTGCTTTGCAGTCAAACCTGAACTATTCAATTTAATTTCAATTTGAGGAAACTGAAGATCCCATATCACGTCCATCACAGGCATCAATTACTTTTCTAATCTTCAACAGCCTGGAAATGAATGCATCCATGACACTTGTTTCCTGAGTCACTAGTCACCATATGTTTATAAATATTATTGGCTGATCTGCATGGTGGACAACATTATATATATATATACATATATACACACATACACATATAAGTGGCAGAGGTCTTTGCAGCATATCTTATCTTCCTGCTCTGCCTGTTTCATATAGAAGTCCACAAAAGAGGTAGTTAGAACCATGCAAGTAATAAGGTTAATTTCAAGAACAAAGTAGGATTTCAGAGCAAAGTTATGAAGATAAGACTATAGGATATATATTTTGTGGTAGACTAAGCACACATACAATATTTGGGAATATTGTACGACCTGCCTACTGTTTTCTTTGATCATCATTTATTATATTTTTCATAATTACAGGGGGTACAGCAGATTTTGTATGATTGCAGAAAGGGAAACAACATTTTTTATTAAAAAGGAAAAAAAAATGCAAATAATTATAAATGGGTCAGTGTAAGTTCATTCTTTGGTTAGATTTTGGGAAAATATATTTAAACTATACTCCTAAATGCCTAGAAGAGATATAGTCAGATCCTAGTATGGAAATATTTTTCTGAATATATCTTATGAAACAAAAGCTATTATCTATTTTTAAAGAATAAAAAAATATATGTAGCATAAGTGTTAAATACCACTGGCTACTGTCCTCATGCTAGATCTGCTTCTGCTCATGATTTATCTTATAAACTTAGATAGCATAGTGGTTAATAAATTTATAATGGTTATAAAGGGAATATCTGTTCTTAGGTGCAACCAAAATGTAGAAATTAATATGTAGAAATGGAGGCTGAAAAGTATGCATATAGGCAGCAATAATCTAAGGATTACTGTGAGGCACTCACAAAATCTAATAAAGTATGTAATAATCTTACAAAAAAGGAAAATAATAATATAGAATCTCTGAAATAAAATCCTTTATGCTCTTATATTCCTACACAATCCCTTTTGG